TTAACACACCAGATAAAATTTCCAAAGTCTCGGAGTTTCAAAGACAGCAATAATGGCGGTAATTCTTTTTGTTCTTTAGAAATTTTATTTCTATGGTTTTCAAATGTCTGAAATCATGTAAGCTTTGGTGCCAAGTGAACTGTCGTAGAGGAAGATTGATACTTTAGAAAATTTCAGTGTTCAAAAAATTCGTATTCATGCCAAAATATTGACTTTTCAAAATTTTCATAAACTCTGAAAACTTATTCATAAACATGAACTTAATCAACAGCTAAACAATTTCTTTTTTTACCTCATAACCACAACTGGCTGAGGACGGACAATAGCTACAGCTCGGCGCTGAGTCCTCCATGGCGATCTGGCGCGGTAATTATCTTGTGCCGGAGGCCTAAAAAAATGTCGATGAGCATCGAAGTTTTGTATCGTCTTTCGTTTGAAGGTGTAGCAAGAAATCCTTACCTTGGCAAAGGAAGTCCAGCTTTTGAATTTTTCGGGCTAAGTACTTGTTTTGTTTCTGGTTTTGCTTTTAACCTCTCCTCATTCCACAAATGTTCCTCCTCTTTTTCCCTTGCTGCATCTTCCTTGTCACCTTTTGATCTTGTTTCTGTCCTGGACAACTCACATGCGGCCTGGAAATAACCTTGATATAAGTGCAATGAGACGACGATATGGTTTCTTACGGTTTGTAGAAACTGTCGGTTTCTAGAATCCTTCTCAGCGGCAAGCGCTTCCCGAACAGCCTTCTCCAATGTCAAGAGGACAGCGTCGTCATTTGGAAGTATGAGATGCTTTTTGACAAGGGGTAGAAGTCGTATGGTTCTGATTCTAAAACAGGATATTTGGGGATAAATTAGCTAAGGTCGTTGTGTATAAGAAATGAAGCTCGAGTTGAAAAGACACATCAAAACAAAGTGCTTACCTGATATTGGATACCTTGTCCTGAATCAGCGCTAGCATTTTCTCAAGGAAATAATTTATGAAGAATTTCCGACTGAAGAGATTTAGCACATTCACTACTACATCAAGATACACCATCCTCCGATAACAACATGAATGTCCAGCAACTTCTGCAATCTCCAGAGCATTACATTCATAATTTTGTAAATCAATATATTGATTTTCAACAGTTAAAAGTCAAGATTTCCTACCTATTTTGAAAAAATCAATAGTTTCTTCTCGCTTCTTCTTTTCTGGTTGTTCTCTCATAAATTGAAGCAAAGTATTAACAGCAGCTACTCGACAGGGAATTGCACGCTAAATCCACAAGCATCAATAAGGCAATGTGAATAGAAGTTCCACTAAAGACCTACCGCTTGTAAGACTTCCTTTTGCAATACGGGAATGAAGGTGTCAGCGAGTTGAGTGTATGAAAGGCAATTTTTCAAAACACTGAGATTCTCAAGAAGAGCAGCATGACTCCTCCACGATCCCGTACCACGAAGTATTTGATTACAACCGATGAGTATACGATCCAACTGGATGGTTGTCACTTTCTATAAGTGAAAGAGTGATAGGAACTGGAAGAATTTTTGCTAGAAAAAGAACTTACAACAGCCCCATTTGATGTAGCTGCACATTTGTATAAGATAGGAAGGATCTTGTCTAGGTTAAATGTCAACTAAAATGGAGATAATTGGCAGGAAAAAAAGTAATTTGAGAGAAGAAAGGAGTATAAATAATAAAGGAGTTGGAAATAAGATACCTTCCCAACAACTTCTGCTGATCCTCCACGAAGCAAGTCAATGAAAGGCTGTAGAAGCTCCTGCTTAGTTGAATGTTGAGCAAGAATTTCGTGGTAAGACGATGCCAGGGA